TATCTAAATATTTTATATTTATTGCCAGATTTCTTTAAGATTATTGACTGACATCGATGTGCTCAAATTCATTAAGAAAGCCATAAAAAGTAAACTCAGTCAGTGCTCTAATAGAGATACTCAAGCAAACAATTATTATATCAAGGAAGATTGTAATTTAAACAAGAAAGACGCAATTAATGTAGTTTGACGTAAATAATTTTTGTACGGCTAGACAATGACTTAATCTCTACCTTATAAAAGCTTAAAGTTCCTCAAAGACATCGAAATGTTGCCACAACATTTTACAGCATGTCAGATGAGTAGGAGACGACCTACGTCTTTGAAGTAGACTTAGAGTACCCAAAGTCATTTTACAATGAACACAGAGACTTTCCGTCTCTACCTAAGTAATCGATACCTCTAAGCTTCTATTCTAAAAAAAAATTTGTGCTGTCAGAGTACTTCTAGTGGTACATTGCCAGTTCAGAAGCTTAGTGTGTCAGCGATATCAGTTGAGTCTAGAACTGCACAAGACCTATATGTGCGCTGCACTTAACCTATAATATATAAGTTGAACTACACTATAGGTAACGATGTAGGATATAACACTGCTTGGACTGGCAGGCAAGCTGTCCGGACTGGTATACCTGCTATCCTAGTAGTCCAAAACAGCAGACTATTTCTGACTTAGTATAGCTGCTGTGAGGGAAGGGACAACTGCAGCACTGAATCTGTTTCAGTAAATCAGATAAAGTTTTTAATTACCCTCTACGATGAGAAGAAACATGCTATTCACTATAGAAAGCTAATCAACAAACTCTAAAACATGGTCATGAATTTACTAAAATAAGCACAAAGACTTGCCGTTCCTACCTAAGTAGTCGATACCACTGCGTTCCTATTCTAAAAAAGATTTTGTGCTGTCAGAGTACTTCTGATAGTACATTGCTGGTTCAGACGCTTAGTGTGTCAGCGATACCAGTTGAGTCTAGAACTGCATAAGACCTATATATGCGCTGCAATTAACCTAGGGTATATACGTTGAACTTCACTATAGGTAACACTGTGAGATATAACACTACTTGGACTGGCACGCAAGCTGTTCGGACTGGTATACCTGCTATCCTAGTAGCCCAAAACTACAGACTATTTCTGACTTAGTTTAGCTGCTGTAGAGGGAGACAATTGCAGCACTAAATCTGTTTCCGTAAATTAGAAAAAGTTTTCAACTACCCTCTACTACAAGAAGAAACATGTGGTTTACTCCTGAAAGTTATCAAATGAACTCTAAAGCATGGTTAAAAATTAAACAAAATAAGCTAAGTGGTTCAATTCAACTTAAAATCATGACTCCAAGTCTTAAGTAATAACAGAGCATGAACGGCAAAAGTACTAAGAATGAACTTAGAAATTGCTGTTTAAACTTTTTAATAACGCCATTTATGGGGAGATCGTAAAAAATTAAAGAAAACATGTTGAATTTGTGATCAAAGAGTACTGAAATAATAGTTATGGTGGTTAAACTCTGATTGTTTGTCTAAACTTCTATAGTTGCGATATTAATTATAAGTCAATCGTGGCTATTCAGATGATAAGGACAGAAGTTATCAATTTGCAAGGCGATATTTGTTGGACTTAGTGTTGTAAATCTGTCAAAAACTCTAGTATATCACTTTCATCACATTTTCATGCTAAAATAACTGAAGGCTAAGAAGTTCAGGCTAATGTACACGGATACTAACAGTCTCGCATATGCAGTAAGAAATACAGACGTATACGAGTTCATGAGAAATAACATTGAGGAATTCGATACCTAAGACTACAATAAAGTTAGATCCTGGAAATAAAATGGTGCAAAGAAACAAGAGAGACGTCAGATTTACAAAGACTAAGTGTCATGGCCAGGTTATGCTCAAATTTGCTAGACTCTAGAGCAAGATGCACAGTCATCTTGTACAAGTTGGTTAGCCTACAAAGAGAATGAAAGGTATAAAAATAGCCATTACAAAGGCCACCATCTCCTTGTAAGACTACATCAACTGCCTCCAGGATATAACAGTGCTTCCGAGAAAGCAAAAAACATCTAGTCTTTTTATTATAAGCTTTACATTAACAAGCAGACAAAAGTAGCTGTCATGACCCATGATAGCAAGCACTGCCTTTTGACCAATATGACCAACACCTTACCATGATAACATTATGCTATAAAAGAAAAAGAAAAGACGATCAGATCATCTAATGGTAAAATCAGAAGCCTCATCAAGCAATAGAGCTCATTCTTTACTTAGAAACGACTAGAAATGAACTGGGAAAAAAGCCAACTTTCTTAGTACAGTGGTATTTTCCAAACATATAAAGCTGGATTAGAGATTAGTTCTATCACTTTATGACTAAATAGGTGATAACACGTTATTTTTTTTGTTTCACCAATTCTTTTTGTTACAGATTCATTTTAACGAACTGAAAAAAATTGCTTGTAATGGTTTTCTACCTACAAAAAAAAGTTAGTTAAGAGTGAAGTGTACTTGGTGACAAAAGTAAGCAAAGTCCTTACCAAGTATGATCTTACAGTTGTCATGGAAATAATTGATGAGCTCAAAACGTTTTTTTCTATTTATTTTTAATAAGAATTTTTTTTTATTTATCATTAAATACAATTTTATAAAATTGAACTGTTTGTTAAAAATGTATGTGACTAAATCAAATGTCCTTTCATATCAATTATTGTATACAAAATGAAACAAAAATAATACGTAGATAAACATATTCAAACACGAGTTTATATTTAGAACCCCTAAAAGTTTTAGATATATCTAGAAATTCATACGACCAATGGTATACAAGTTATATTTCTAATTGAGTATTTCTAATTTACCAACAAACATTAAAATTATATATCTACTTTATCAGACTCTGGTGAAAAGATACCTCTGAAAATTAAGAATGAGAAACTTATCTTAACTTACGGTGCGAACGAATGTACGGCTCCTTAGTAGCTCAAGTGGTAGAGCAACTGTCTAATAAACAGGAGGTTGTGTGTTCAATCCGCATCTGGGGAGGATATCTTTCTCATTCTTATTTCTTAAGAAAATTTTCTTGAAGAAGAAATAATGTGGTGTAATATTGTGAGTTTTAAGTAGGTATATTGAATACTGAAAAAAGGGCATGTATGGAAGATATAGAGTGTTTGTATTGAAAGTGCTGCCATCTATGCATAATTACCTCTTCATACAATGGTTTAGATGTATCAACATTCGCTTGTATACCATTGGTCGTATGAATTTCTAATTTATCAACAAGCATTAGAATCACGTATTTACTTGGATATATTTATTTAAATGTGCCATAAGTTTTGTTTACTGTTATAGTTGTTTTCAAAGCCTGTCCACTTGACAAAAACTTGATATTCTCCTTATCAAAGAACTTCTTTTACCCAATATTTGTCTTGAAATTTGGATTTTAGTACCTCTTATTCGGAAGAGCTGCTAAAAACCAGCTTATCATCAAATTTCAAATGACAAGTATTAATATTGGTTCCTAATAAATTATAAGATGCAATATAAACTGTAAATACTCTAGTCAATTTGTTTAACGTATAGCATTTATAAAGACACTTTGAGCTCTACTGACGTGCACTTTATTATTAACTCAGAACTAAAACGTTTATATAATTCCATTAATAACAGTTAACTTTTCTAATACTCAATCTTCGTTCACGCATATGGCATCGGCAGGCTCCACACTAAATGTCTGATGCTGTAAAAAGTTGTAGGATGGAAATTAAATCTGGTATGATATCAAGCCTTTTATAATTTCCGTGAAGACTGAACTTTCTCAGCATTTTGATTTCCAAAGTGTGATTAAACTATTCACACATAGATACCTTGACATTGATTTATGCTAAAGAGAGATTGATGTCATACTTTTTTCATGAGGTCTTACGAAATTTCATTGTAGAATTCTGTACCTCTGTCATTGTAAATATTTTTAGTACTCGACCCTCTCATAATACAGAATCTATCGCTGCTGTAACATCTTTTCTAGTATCTCCTACTACAGATACAGCTCCTGTTTACTTTAAAAATATATTGATTACAGTAAGAATGTACCTGTGAATATTGTTTTTAGGAGCATAAAATATTATTTTTACGAGATTGGCCTGCCATATTCAATCTAAACCTCTGATATCATTCTTCTGTCATCGAAAGTAACGACAAGGTGGTTTGTGGAGCTCTTTCACTAGAGCTAACTTTTCACAATACATCCTCATTAACTTATGTGTCACGTGCAAAATCATAGCTACACGTACGTGCGCCCCCTCTTTTTGGGGCCTACTTAAGACGATTGTAGTAGGAGGCAGTAGAGGGGTAATCAGATAGGATGCTGAAGGAAGCGCGCTCTCTGGCTAAAACCAGCTAGGACGAAGGTCTTGACTGAGTCGAACTGAGGTTGAACTGAGATGACCAAATGGTTAAATGTACAAAAGTATGAGCTTGCATTATACAGCTAGTATTAATAACGCACAACTATATTTACTTAAGTCTATGCATGATATTAAACTTCACTTGAAACAATCACCTTTCTTCTAAGATCATCTGTTGAGTTGATCAAGTTTCTGTGCCACGAGTGTAACTGGTTCACACCTCTTTTAAAAGCGGCAGACAATAATGTTTCATCAACATAAACGAGTTTTACTTTGCTCATCTCAACGATGTGGAAGATAAAAGCAAATAAAGAAAGAGCTCATAAGTGGCAAAAAAGAGCAATGGCTGACCAAAAGTATGCCTTTATCCGATTGCTTTCCATGGTCAACTGAGCTGTAGCGCATGTTTCAAGTAGCCTACGTAAGAAGACACTCATACAATCATTCACACACGCATGACAGCCAACACAAACTAGGCTACGTACTGCCAACGCATATAAAAAGAGGGCATGCGCATGCAGATTACTGCCAGTGTTGAGTATACACACACACTGACTATGACAGCTAGTCTTACTTTTCCAACATTTTGCCTGCTGTCAACCTGCTGTTGACTACTGTCATAGACTGGCAGCACTACTAACTCGTGTAGGGGTTTCTGAATAGTAGATGTGGCTGTCTTGAGTGGAACTACACGTGTGAGGTTGTCCTTGCCTGGATGAGTAGCTACAATTTGAGCTAATGGCCACTTCCTAGGAGGTAGAGCATCACTGGTGATTAATACTAAACAACCTTGCTGAATCTCATAAGAAGGGTGATACCATTTCAATATAGAGTTGAGCAATTGAATATACTGGCTTGACCACTGTTTTCAGAACCTCTGCATTTGAGCCTGGACAAGCTGCCATTTTGAGAGTTTGTCAGGTGAAATTTCAAGAAAATTTGTTTCTGCTGGCAGATCTAAAGCTGAACTTATAAGAAAATGACTTAGAGTGAGTATTGCTAAATCTTCTGTGTTATTCGTCAGAGCTCGTAGCTCCAGAGGTATTGAGTTAAGTATAGCTTTGATCTTAGCTAAGAGTGTCGTTGCCTCCTCGAAAGTATAGAGTGTATCTTGCATGGTCTGCTCCAGATAAAACTTAACTGATTTAACCGCAGTTTCCCACTTACCTCCCATGTAAGGAGCACTAGGAGGGTTAAAGTGCCATGATATCTAATCCTGAGCCAGTAAACTTGATAAAGTAGAGTCTTGCTGCCTTGCTTCAGAGTATAACTGTTTAAGAGCCTTATCTGCACCAACGAAGTTTGTCCCACAATTTAAGTATTACTTCAATGGATATCCTTGACGTGCAACAAACCGCCACTATGCTGACAGATATTTCTTAGTCGAGTAATTTGTCACTGTCTCCAGATGCACTGCCAAGGTTGAAGTACAGACGAAAACACACATCCATCCTTTATGCGTTCTCAATCCTCGACCTGTCTAATAGTTTATGTGGATAGGTCGCGCATAATGCACACCTGTATGCAAAAACGTTCGCGAAGGAGTAACCCTGGCTTTGGATAGCTGTTTTATCACATGCTGAGCCCATTGTGATTAAAATCTAGCACCTTGCACACACCTTAAAATTCTGGGTTTGACGTGAGCTTTTCCACCAATGATTCAAAATTGCTGACGAGTCTTACTGAGTGTTAGCGGAGTGCCTCTATGTAGAGTTTGAGTATAAGCATGATCAATGATGAGATTAATGAATTGAGACTGCCTAGAGAGTATTGCTGGATGAGTTGCATCTGGTCTGAGTTTTGCATTCGCTAGTCTACCTCTAACTCGCTAACCTTATTCTCATTAACGAAGGTAGTTAAGAGATAAAAGACATGACCCTTTGGAAGAGAGCCTTGTTTGAGTAAATCTAGTTCTTCCTTAAAGAACATTTCTTGAGTTTCGTGGATCCAAAAAAGTTTAGCCTTGTTGATTAAATTAGCAGTGGCAAAAGGAGTATCGTGATGTGATTTGTGCAGCATCTTAAACTTGAATACAGGCGAAAAGAGTGTTGCCGTCAATTTGTACAACCTGGGCAGAGTAGAACACATCTGAAGAAGCCTTTCTGAAAATTTGCAACGTGAAACAGATGCTGCCATGGCTACAACTGGGGTCAGTCATCAACATGCCTTAGTCTCATCCTCACAGTCAATTGCACCAGGCTTTCTAGGCCAATCTTCTTAAGCACACATTAGCCAACTGGGCCCTTGCTACCATAGTTTGTGTTCAGCTCGCTGTGAGCTGAGCATTCCTTGCGAGGCACAATTTGCAGGATTATCTCCACCAGGCACGTGTCTCCATCATGCCAAAGGAACCAGATCCTGGATCTCAGCAACTCGATTTCTTACAAAATTCTTTTATTTGCTCGGATGTCATGAAATCCAGTAGAATGTAACTGATGAGTCTATCCCTAGATGAATCTTACTGACATTACACTTGAGTTCTTGTACAATATACTTGACGAGTTTGGCAAGTATAAGAGCTGTTGTCAGCTCCAGACGTGGAATGGACATCTCCTTGAGTGGAGCCGTCCTTGTTTTCGAACAGACAAGTGAGTGTGACTGAGAAGTGTCCGTGCACTTGACAAGGTAAATCACTTGTACCATGGCTGCTTGAGAGGCATCAACAAATCCATGGAGTTCTATACAAAAGTTTGAGTCCGTTCCAATCCATCTCGGTAAAATAACTTTGTTTAATTGTAGAAGATCTTTTCTCATGCGCACCCAACGCTGTGCCAATGCATCAGATATCGGCTCATTCCAAGATATTTTGATCAACTAAAGTTCCTGAATTATGATCCCCACTAAGATTAATACTGGCGATACTATGGCAAGAGGATTAAATACTTGAGAATTTTCTGAGAGTATAACTCTTTTAGTTGGAGCTGCCTCTACGTTCCACAGTGCACAGTGAAATGTGAGTGTATCTGAATGTGGTATCCTACCTAATCCGAGAATTGAAGCTTTGCAGTCGTCAAGTAATATTGCTTGAGGATTACTAGAATATGAGTACTGGAATTCTGTTCAGTTTGAGTGCCACTTAGCCAATGACATGCCACCTGCCATGCAAAGACCAGAGAGCTGAGTTGCTTGAACCTTAAATTCTTCCATACTGTCTGCTTCTCCAAATATATCATCAATATAGTGACCAGAACGTAAGATATTGACAGCCTCTGGTTGATTATGTTTCTCGTCACTGATCAATTGCAACAATGCTCGAGTGGCAGAAAACGGGACTGCTCTTGTGCCATGAGTTGCTGCAGTCAGATAATAATAAGCTTCTTTATAGGACTCGTCCTCCCAAATTATCCGTTGCATATTCCAGTCTTTTGAATGGACACTAATTTGTTGGTGCATTTTAGAAATATCTGTGAAAAATGTCCATCTAAAACTACGCATCCAAATGAGTACATTCAAGATATTAAGTAGCAGATTCGATCCTGTATGAGTAATAATATTAATTGAATAACCTGAAGAAGTAAGTGCTGATCCATTGAAAAAAACTCTAATTTTACTTTTCTCACCATCCATTTTCAAGACTTTATGGTAAGGTAAATTGTAGTGAGGGACCCTGTTGGCACTGGTGTCATGTGACCAAAG